CATATTAGACTGAATTATAAACCAGGTATAACTAATTAGATAATCCTAGAAAAAGAAATAAACTAAACCTAGTAAGCAAAAAAATATATACTTACATTCAGAATTCTAAATGTTTATAAAACGTTTCTCGCAAGGCCTGCCGGGAAAAGGGAAAAGATGTCAAACGTTCTTTGGTCAGACGATTGGAAAAGAACGCTAACATGATTAGTTTTGTTTTCAACAACCACATTACCATTTCAATTAAATACCACAAACAGTGATTAAATTTTGGAATAATTAGTTTTAAATAATAATACGGCCAATTTAAGGCGTAATTTATCGGATGCACAATGACAAAATACTACTATTAATTAGATCTGCATTTTGAATAAATATTTTGCACAATTTCAACTCATTAGACATTAAGAACACTGATATTAATTAATCGCAAAGTTTAAACGTTTAAATACTTACTCACTACATATAACAGTGCAAAGTGTATGAAAATAATCTGCATAAAATGAACAAAAAATATTTCAAGCAGTAATTGTAAACATTTTCTTACTTACCTGCGCTATACAACCAACATGTATTCAGCCATGCTTTTTTCTGCAACTAGCTTTCAAACACTTTTCTCCTGATTGGCTAATTTCCAGTCAGTCACGTGATTCTTCCGCGCGGCTACTGAAACATTATCTGTAATGCTACAAGCAAATCAGCTGTTACCGCTACAGTTTGCTTTCAACCTGTTACCATTACAGGAAATTCTTCTGTAACTTTTTGATTTCTGTAACTTTACAAAACTTTTGCCTGTAAAGAGCGAACTTTTTTTTTACCGTGTATGTCTCTATTAATGCATAGAATATGCAAATCAGAAGATTGCAAACAAATAAATTAGTAAGAATTTAGATATTCTTAAATTACAGAGATCATTTAGATAAATATATAAAGTAATAAGTGGTGTATGAACTGGTGGTTGGTCAGTTATAAATCAGTCAACTTAAACAGAAATAAAACCTGCCTCCCAACTGAGATAGTGGTTAGTGACTCCGAATACTGTAGCGAAGGGCCTGGGTTTGAATTCCGAAGGCATCGATGTTTGTAAATGTATAGTGTCTGTGCGGCATGAGAGCACTCTAAATATGCAGCGAGCCGAAAGCACTCTCGAGAGGTTAGTGGTAGAGGAGGAGGTTGGGAGAATCTCGTACTCGTCCCCATGGGGTGCCCTTCATCAAAATTGAGGGTAGAACTGAGCAAAGTCGTACTGTCACCTGTATGGTTCTCAAGGCTCTTGCCAATGACAGAAGCAATCTTGCATTCCTTGCCACGATGAATTTTGTAGGCTTGTTCTGATGTTACTGTCAGTCAATTCAGATAGATCACAACACCCAGAAATTAAAACTGCATATACAAATAAAAAGGTATCTTAATTAATATTTTTACGAGCTGAAAACTTTCGAGGATCACCTAACTACATTCATTTCCTTTTAAGATCACACAGATACACTTCAAAACTGGTCATGCTAAAAATATAATGCAGTTCAAAATGCTGTAAAAATGTCCAAAATTTATATAAATCAATTAAATGTATCTAATTGGGGGGGGGTTCAGCAAGTAAATTTTAGTTTACCTCTTTTTTTTTTATATATTATAAGGCAATGTACCCCCACTGATAATAAAAATGAGAATAAAACTAAATTGACTTTTCCTCATTAAAGTAACTAACGTAATAGTAAGTGTTTGCATAAAAGACACTATTCAGCACTGTTTTCAATGCTATTTCCCAATTGTGATTACTTCTGTTAATATCATACACCACCCTCTATTGGAAAAAATTTAAACTAACCAGTTATCCCTGCCAAAAAGATCCCCCTTAGCCGTTTATTTGCATGCAAACCATACTCTGTTATATTCTTTGTTCAAATTGAATTTTTTTTTCTTACGACTGTTTTGAGCTGCACTGTATACCTCAATCAAATAAAAAAAAATCCTAATAAATTTATAAATACTAATATCTGCAGTTCCAATATTGCTCAATGAATGAAAATACATTATGGGAGTACAATATATAGGTAATCAGAAAGATGTAATTCTTTAAAGTTATTGAATATTCTAGCAGTTTACTTCTTGGCAAGTACAGGAATTTCTTTAGAACAGTAATTCTGAAAACAAGACTTTTTAGGAGTTGGGAGGAATATATTTCAAGTAATGTGATAAAGTGAAACTTTTAAATTTTAAAGTAATTAAAATCAAATTATTAATTTAGGTCATCCAAGATTAAAGCAAATTATATGAGATTTTGGTGCTACTTTGTTAGACGGTTACACGGATTTTTGGCGATTTACGTTGGCACAATAGTTGACGCGATTTTTACAAACGTCAGCCATCTTGAAAAACGCTGTTTTCATGCATAGTAAAGCATTCGAAACTTAAAAAAAAATAAATATCGTTAGAAGTAATGGATTAATTTTTTGTTGAAAATGCCGTTTTTTAAGATGGCAGGCAAGTGTAAATAAATACATTTACTATGAGTATAAAATACTAAAGTAAGGTTATTACTTTCGGTTTTGGTTTGGTTATTACTTTCATATAGCAAAGAAGAGAATAAAAACACCGCTATAAAAACATTGTGCCAACGTTTAATTAGATTAAATTACTTATACTGAAATTGAATATCGAATTAAAAACCATCATCCAACATTTAAAAGAATTAGAATATTATTAAATTCAAATACTTTAAAATACGTTGTATAGAATATAATTAACATTTAAACATATGTGACAATAATTATCTCAGCAATTTTTAAAAATAGTGTATGAATTTTTTTAACAAAAATTGAAGTATACAATTATAAAATAAAAGAAAAATATGTACTTACATTTTTCTTGAATCATTTAATCTGTTGTTTATTGATAAGTACCACAAAAAAAATCGGAATCATAATTTAGATATCAATGAAAAAAATTTGAAAAATGTAATATCAAGGGCAGGAATAAAAAAAATTAAAAAAAAATATTATAAATAGATAAAGCAATTTAGAGCCAAATTAATGGATCATGAAGATTAAAAATAACAAAAAAATTTGAAAAAAAAATCCAATAATAGGTATTGTTTTTAAGATTTCGAAGATCCTTTAACCGCCCCTCCCTGAAGTACATGCCAATCTTCCCAGTCTATGTCTCTAATAATTTCGAGAAATTTAACATATGGATGCTCATTCAATGCAGAGCAAATTTTCCTAAACAAATACCAGGCTATGTATCCTTCAAAATTCCCTCGACGATTGTAAACCGGCAAAGAATTTTTGAAGTCACGCCATTGTCTTTCAACTGTGTTAGTATGAGCTCCGGTTTCAGGATCTACGAAATGGAGCGAATGGTTAACTTGCAAGTGATTAAAACCTTCTTCGCTCAAACGGTCATAAGCTTTCCAGCAGTCCGAAATAATCTGGGTTCCCGGTTCGATCCAATCCTTAATTAAAGCGAGAAGAGTATCCGCTGTTCTGTCTGGCACAGCAACTAAAAAACAGCGACCTGATTCGCGCTCTATTCCCCCAAAAACCCACTGCCCTTCAACGAATCGACCCTTGTTAAACTTTCGTTTCCCGATTTTAGACTCATCAATCTCCACGATTTTCCCTGGCCCTCCGATCTTCTCCGTTTTAGTTTCTACAAAATTAATTAAAACGTCGGTTACATAACTGCGCCAGTCGGCTACAGCTTCTGAAAAAATACCGAGCTCACATTGAATTCTATCGTACGAAGAACCCATGAATATTTCGTACACTAGAGCTAAAATGACAGCAATTGGAAGTTTACTGCCGGTAAAAAAGGAGGAAATGTCTAATACTTTTTTTACCGTTACAGCGATTATTTCTTCCACCGTGACCACAATACCATATACGGCCATCCTCGGAATCGGCTCTTTTAACCATCTTCATCTGTGATCCACATTTCTCGCACTTCATTGAAGAAGCAATTAGCGAGGTTTCTTCCAAAAACTTAAAATAAATTTCCTCTGACCCTTGTAACAATTTGTAAACAAATCTTTGATTAGGAAAGCCAGGCTGGCCAAAATAAGGTCTCAAAGGACAATTTTTTGATTCCGATACCAATAATTCTTGGTACTTACCAATAACAACATTCATCTTAGAGAGAGACATCTTTGAAGGAATTCCAAGAAATGAATTAAATTTTAAAATGGCGCGGAAATGCACAAATTTTCAGTAACCAATCAGGGAGCTGATTACAGCTCGTTAATGCACAAATAGTCTATAACCAATCAGAGAGCTTATTACATCACGCCTAGAATTAAATTTGTTTAAAAATTCATACATAATAAAATCATTTTTAAAAAAAAATGCAAAATTAAATTGTATTTTAATATTTAACAGCCATAAATATGTTTAAAACATTAGATTAAATTTATACATATTAAAACCAATTACTTTTAAAGTAAGGTGACGTCATTGATTACATCATCCACAACATAAAATTTCATAGAATATGATAAACAAAAAAATTTTATTTCAAATAAAAATGCAAAATTAAATTGATTTTTAATATTTAGAAGCCATAAATAATATTTAAAACACGGAATTTATGCACAATAAAACACATTATTTTTTAAATAAAATGACAACAAAGTATCGGTTACCATAAATATCTTATCATAATATATACCATAAATAAATAGCAGTGGGTTTACCATAAGTTGTATTACTCGCCAAAATCCGTGCAACCGTCTACCAAAGTAGCACCGAGATTTTTAATACAATGGATTTAATAGTAATCACTAAAGCGGCTACAAATCTTTTATTTTAGTTTTAAAATTAATTCAAAAATTTCATCAGAACCTAATTTAAAAACTGCTAAGTGAAATATACTTAAATGAACATGTCTCTCTTCCTGCATGTTATTTTTATTTAGTCCCATTAATGACAGTTAATAAGGCTTTGTGTCTAATTAAATATATATTAATTTATTTAAGCTTTTATTTTATGTCAAATAACTTATTTTAGGCAATCAAAGAGTTCTTTTCAACAATAAAGATTTTGAAAACATCGGTAAACCAGACGGCATGACGATCGACATAGAAGGAAACCTCTGGGTGGCATGTTTCGGGGGTAGCTGTGTTCTTCGATTGGACCCACTTAAAAGTTGGTATAAAATTGTTTATATACACTTCTTTTTCATATAGCTGGCAATATTTCAGTTTTACTGAATACTGAAATGTTACATCAGTTACTATATTGCACCATTTATGAAATGCAGTTTCATTTCATAACATAAATTAATACACAGTGAACAAATTCACAATGAAAACTAAATAATTATTAAAATAACTATCAAATAATGACAGTTATTCAAAGAAGTATGTAACAAAAATGAGTTAAAGAATTTCATAAAAACAAGCTGCTATAGCACTTTATTATATAAAATAATATTCAGAAGAAAACTGCAAAATACAAAATCATTTGCTGATATCAGTAAAGCACAATTTTTCCTATCAAAGGAAACATTACAGAGTTCATAAAATTATTACTACATTATAACATCAATGGAAAATACAGAATCCTGAAATACTTAAATTGCAAGAGAAAGTTGATTTTAGAACATAATATTTAATGACACAAGTACCATAAAATAAACAAAAATGAAATGGATAAAATTAATTTCTTTTATCTTTTCATACAGGAAGCATTTTAGAGAAAGTTGATATACCAGCCAAGAACATTACATCATGCTGCTTTGGAGGACCTTATTTGAACACATTATTTGTGACAACTGCAACATATGAACTTTCTGATGAAGAGAAAAAAAGTCAGCCATATGCAGGAGCAGTTTTTGCTGTTACAGGCCATGGAACACAAGGACAGCCACCATGCCAATTTTCTAATAATATCTTTTAAGTAATCAAAAACTATAAGAAGATAGAAGAACCTTTTATCCTAAAAAGATTTTGAGACACTTTCTTGCAAGTTCTGCACATTAGTATTATGGCAGCAATAAATACAAATATTACATAATACTGAACTGATTAAATCGGCCAATACAAATTTATCAAAAACCAAAACTACCCAACATATTTAAACATATTCAAAGCAAATATAATCTAATGCAATTTTCATTTTTTTTGGGGGGGGCTGGTAAATCATTTCCTCCAAATTTTTTTTCTTTCTTTTTTTTTTTTTTATTTCTTAAAATAATGAATATATGAAATCAAAATCTGATTTTAGTATGATGTTATGCATACATTTCTTATTTTCCTAAATTTATTCATACATTATTACAGTGCATTTTCGAAGTGTATAGCTTTATTAAGACATAAAACTATTAAGAACACACAAATTAAAAAATGTAAGGATTATATAATTAAAGAAACATAATACAATTTAATAATTAATAATATCATCTACAATGATGTTTACTATAAAAAATGTCATGAAAACATTTGGCACAAGCAAACTGACTAAAACGTTTTACAATATATACATAATTTGACCAAAAACAAATTTTTTTGGCAGAAAAAGGTCAGTGTCCATTTTGCAAATTATTAGGTAAATATTTTTGTTCGAGCTAATTATTTAATATAAAGAATTCAGTGAAATATTTCTCCAATGGTTAATTTTTTCAGATGCTTGAAAATGGATGCAGCTACTTCTTACTTGAATGCTTATCTCTGAAAATATCATTACAATAGGCCTTTTTACTTAAGTGTACATATCATATTGTTGACCAAATAGGTCTAACATACATAGTAGTAGAAGCAAACTAGCCAGTTACCTTTTGTGAAATTCATAATTTTCATGTGGGAAAATGAAATCTGTGGAAAATTTTGTGAAAAAAATGTTAGTATTTGAACATTTTGAACACTGGCTTTTTTGTTACCAAGGTACAAATATAACATGAATCAGAATAATTTTTAATGCCAGAAAATCTTAACTATTGCAAAAGTGCAGACTATGAAAATTTAAAACTAATAAAAGGAAACTGTTACCTTTTTTTACATAATGCATTACCAACTTTTCTGAAATGGATTAGAGGCCATTTATAATGAATTATATAAAATGTTAAGGTAAAATGTTTAATACAAAAATCACCAGGATTCATTCTATAAAATGTGCATGTATTTGTTGTTATTATTATAATAATTTAAATTTCTTGTAACGTTTTATGAAAATAAAAGTATAATTTAAATTTTTGGAATTTACTTCATGTTGGATAAGTATGTTACTAAACACACATTAAAATACAAATAAAGCATAGAAAATGGAATCATAAAAATTTTATTTCACAGAAATTAAGTTCAAAATTTAATAATCTATTGTTAAACTTCTAAAATCTGTGTGACATATATCATCAATAAAAAAATAGCTGATGTTTATTCCCCTCATCGTTTAGCATAAGCTGTTTTTGAAATACAGCTGGGAAGTTTGTTTCGAAAATTGAATAGAATCTCGTATAAAAAAAGAGTTTAATTATGACTACAATTCATCAGTATATCTAGGAATGTTTTTTAACTGTTCACCATAATCAGTTGCTTCACTTCCTACAAAAATTTCATGATGATCAACAATTTCTTCCAATGACAATCTTTCATCTTTATCAGAATCTGAACTTTCAATTAAGTGGTCTGCTTCAGTTTCAGCAGCTTCTCTAAGAAAGGAAAAATATTAATAAGTAAACATTAAACACTATTAACACATTAAAAAAGAATATGAGCTATTATGACTACAGCAATAACATGCAAGTGATAACACACTGCATGATATACAGAAGTTCTAACAATGAAGACAAGTAACATCTGACATGAACCGAGCATGACACACATTTCTTATTAAATTTTAATATTTTCAGTCCCAAACATTTACAACCTACTAAAATAATACAGTTTCTTATAAATATTTCTTTTAACTCACGAAGTAAAACCTCAATATTACGGAGAGAAAAAATGCACAAGGAAACAACTATATGAACAATGTTTCTTTTTATGAGAATCACAGGTATTGATTATATGCCCCAAAAGAAACTTTAAACATCTTGGTCAATTTATGTCCCACAGGTATCAAACATTTTGCATTTCACTTTTTAGAATGGTGCAAACTTTTCCTAAGTATGACTACACTCTGGGGGGGAGCATATAAGAAGGCAGGGTTTTTTATTATCATTTTTACAAAATTAAATTTATTAAAGTTTCAAAATACCAAAACGTGAAAATCTGACTTATTTAAAAGATTTCTCTAACTCACAGTTTTGTTTACAACTAACAGTTAACCCCTTAACTGGTCAATTTTTTTCCAGAAATGTTCCAAAAAAAAAGCATATTTTTTATTGCATATAATTAAAGGCCTAACTTAGTATAAAAGGAAAATGAAAGAATTTTTTAAAAAATTTTGATAAATAATGAATTTAAGCATTTTTTTTATTTTATAACTTTGTAACACAAATGCCCCTACTTGTTGGCTTTTTGTAATCACGGAGTTTATGCAGTGAAAGCCTATTATACAGATCTCACGAACTGCGAATCTAAAAGAAAACTTACCATACGTTAAAAATTCATACTTCCAATACCATTGTTGAGTAGTCCTTTTTTGTGTGATACAATTTAAAACACGGTGTCGGTGTCAGACAAAGTCCTACATCACAATCAGGACAGAAATACCGTGTTTCCTTTCGGATTCTCTTTCCACTTTCATTCCTCCTGGAACAGCATACAACGCATTGTCTGGCAGGTCTAAGTTTTTTCTCTGTTGGAGCAATAACTTCTATGAAGTGTCTCTCGGTCAGTCTCAAAGGATTAGGCTCAGAATCAGGTCGTCCATATTTGCAAGTCATCCCAGAATGGTATTTCTCGATAATTCTGTCAACAAAATCAAGTCTGAACTGTAACTGAGTTTTCTTTTCACCTTTTTTACAATATACGACATATGAGTTCCATACGGCAATATGAAAAATGTGGAAAAAAAATTTTCTATAATATTTTTTTCCTCTCTTTCTAATGACTTGAAAATTTTTCGAAATTTTTTTTTTTTTTTTTTTTAAATTTTCCAAATTTTGGCCCATGCGGTCTACTTCCTCCCATTGTGTTATTGTAATCCATAACAATTTTTGGTTTCTGTTTCGTTTCAGAGCGGACCTGTATTTCTACCTTTGCAGTATTATGAATAGTAGACAGTAATGAAACATTCTTTTTGTCCATCCACTTCATAACAGTAACTTTTCCTCTCTGAAATGCAATGATTTCTCCTTTTTTTAGTTTTTTCTTTTGCATTTCCTTTGGGACTTCTTTTCTCTTCAGATTCAGGGTGCCATATGTATCCGTTCAACACAAAATTAATTTATCAGCTAATTCTGGCGATGAATAATAGTTATCTGTCATAAGACAATATCCTTTATGCAGTAACGGATGCATCATTGTCATAACAACTTGTGACGAAATACATAGATTTGAAAACTCTGGTTTCAGAATCGTGTTTTTGCCTGTGTATATTATTACAGAGCATACATAACCAGAAATCGATTCGCACAGCATGAAGCATTTTATTCCAAATCTTGCTGTTTTTAGGGGAATATACTGCTTCCACCCTAATCTTCCTTTGAAAAGCATAAGGCTTTCATCTATAGTTACATCACGTTGTGGTGTCACCTGCCAAAGCGAAACTTTCTCATTCAGATGTTTCAAAACTGGCCACAATTTCACTAATTTTGGGCATTCGTGACTTTGTGCATCAAATGCTGAATTATCCGAAAAATGTAAGTATCGTTGCAAAAGGTGAAATCGACGATGAGTCATTATTTGGGGGGAAAAAAAGGCGTGTACGTGGAATGTCTCTTACTCCAGTACTGATCAACTGCGGGCTTCCTTTATAATTTCCTTGCAGTATAACCAGAGCAAAAAATATATGCATCTCTTCCTGAGTTGTTTGTTCCCAAAATTTACTTCTTGAGAATTTTTTTGCAGTGCTTGACTGGATGCACTGTGTCGCATATCTGTTTGTTTCTTCCTACAATTTTATTCATCAGAGAAGAATCAATAAATGCTTCATAAAATTGTAGTTCATCAGAAGTATCATCAATTTGTATATTTACTGCTGGAACACCAGTAAAATTGAAACCTGGGACACGGAAGAGGGCGGGTTTTCCTACATCAATTTCAATAAAATTTCTAGCAGAAGTCAAGTCTTCATCGGAGCTGATCTCACTACACGTGTCATCTGAAGAATTATCCAGAACATTACAAGACAGTTCTGAATTTGTATCCGAATCATCAGAAGCATCTAACAATAAAGTAGAGTATCATCATCTATTGTATCATCCATAACTAAAGAGCTTTGAATTCACAACCAAAAAAACCGTGTAGCAAAACTTTCAAGAACCAAGAATGCAAAAGTATTTTCGACTTCCGGTAACAAAAGAAAAACTGGTTAGAATGATTTTAAATAGTATGGACAAGCTATGCCATCTATTGAAATCTTCTAATTACTAAAGTCTCTCTTTCAATATATTAAAAATACGGGCAAATCAAAATAAGAAAGGGGGAAATATCGATGCACGTACGCCGTACGGACAAATCAGATGTGCCCAATGATCAGTAGCCCATACACTGTACGGGCAAACCAGTTAAGGGGTTAAAAAAATAAAGGCTATCCAATGACTTTTTATGGGTATAGTATTGTACACTTTTCCTTACATGGCCAGCAAAATTCTGTTTACTTTTAATATCATTCAAGATTAATACAATATCTATTGTTTTATAAATATTTACTGAACAGCAAAAATGAGGTTTTATTATTAAATTTTATGACTACCTACTGATATTTTTCCTAAAGCTATAATTGGATCACAGAACCAGGAAACTTTAGAAAGCATTAGAGATGGGTAATCTGCTCAAGAATTAATTCAAAGAATCTGCTTACTTTACGGGGTGAGCAAATTGTGGTTTGACAAAACTCAGTGGTAGATCATTTAGAGTTCACCCACTGAAAACTCTAGGAAGCTCCCCAAGAAAATTTCATTCCCCTTTTTGGGAATAAAGAAATGCTCCTCTTCTCATCTAAAACACTAAATTTTTATTGTTAGTTATATGCAAAAAAGGTTTTAGCGATTCTCAAAACTACAGCTGAAAGAAATCAGTCCAGGAAGTTCACAAGTTACCCCTCATTTCATTCTTTCTGCTATTCACTATATCCTTACATACTATTATTGATCTACTCCTCGTTTTCAATCTTATTCATCAAGGTTATTTTAGTGAGCAGTGAGTCATAAGTCTGATACCATAATACAGCAGTTCTGCCTATTTTTAAGTTTTTAGATGAGAGATTCATGATCACCAATGTTGTAACTGAACTTCTGTTGCTAGGCAATGAGAATCCCTCCAAAATCAGTTATTTATAAAACAGCTCACTGATATAACATTAAATTTATAACTTTAGTAACTTTCAAAATTATATCCATTTACTTTTATTTTTAAATTAAATAATTTATAATAAAATTTTATTTTCATTTAAATTACTACTTTCAAACTTTTAATTTCAACTTAATTATTTTACAATTTAGTTCATAAATTTGATTTAAATGTGCATATTAGAAGAAATTATAAGTATTTTCTATACATTTTTTACTTAATTTTCTTCCAATCTTTCATTAATTAAAAATTCTTGTTCAATAATTAATTTTGCAAAATTTATTTTCAAATTTACCTCTGTGAGCACACTGTATCAAAAGTGATAACATGGCAAAGCCGACAATCTCATTTTTGATATGTTGAATAAAACAAATTATTTCAAATTGTAAATATACATAAATGTCAAAATGCTGAGAAAATTAACTGATCGGAATGTCTTTCATCTTCCTATTATGAGTTTTACTTACTATTTTATTCTATGATTGTAAAACTTGCAATGCTTACAGCCCATTAACCCTTTCTGGCACGCTACCTTTTAAAGTCAGAGTTTTGATTTAAAAAAATAAAAAATAATAATAAAAAGGTAGGCAGTCTAATTAGATCTAGAGGAGTACACAAGTAAAATTTTGTGAAGATAGCACTTATCGTTTTAATTCTGTGAGTGTGCCCAAAGTGGCACACTTATTGAATAGAGCTTCAAAAAGAGTGCTGAAACGAGCATTGTTGTCAATGAACTGAACGATGAGATGCGGAGAAACAAAGAATACAGACTCTCAGTTGTCCTAGATTATCGGTGAGCTTGGTCTGGGCACACCTAGGGTTTGCCATTTGATTCTAGGCAAGATTTCAAGGTAAAAATTTAAAATTAATATAGAATAAGGAGATTAGCATACAGCCAAAAAAAAAAAAAAACACAAATTTCTTTTCAAACAATTTTTTTTATACCCTAAAAAAATCTGGAAGATTTCTTTGAAAAATGAGGGTCTTAAAAAACTAAACACGGCTAAAATATATGGACTGGTTTGTGTTGAGCTGCCATCTACTATAAATAAAGAAGGTTCAGAGTAACTGAAGTGTCTGGTATGCAAATGTAGGAAAATAACACTTCTCTGACTCCAATGGAACCAATATTTTATTCCTTATGAAGTTATAGATTCTTATTCATAAGATTTATTTACATTTTACATGCACGTAGAATCACGTGACAGAAAACCAAAGTTTGTTTACTTCGTTCTTCGCAGAGACTAAAAAG